CAGAGCTCAAGGCTGTTTCCTCTGGTCTTGTTACATGTTCCCTGGGAGCAGAGCCCAACCCTCACCTGGCTGGGCCTCCTGTCAGGCAATTGTAGAGAGCAAGAAGGTCCCTCAGCCTCCTTTTCTCCAATATGAGCCCCCACAGCTCCCTCAGCCACCCCTTGTGCTCCAGCCCCTTTCTCAGCTTTGTTCCCTTCTCTGGACATGCTCCAACACCTCCAGTGTCCTTGTCATGACGAACCCAAATCCCTCCCCAGGGTGTAAAACAGGAGCTGCTTGTCCTGTCCCCAGGCTGCTTTTGCCATTGTGAGAGGCAGGAGGGACAGGAGGGTGTCCAGGCATCCACAGCTGGAGTGTTTGGAGCTTCCCTTTCACAGACTCCAGGCAGGGATCTCACTTTGAGTTCATCCTTGGTATCCAGCTCCAGACACCAATCTGCAATGCTTCCCTAGGGATGGAAACCTGGGGTGGGCTCCTCAGCTGGGGAGTACTTCAGCTCTAGCTGTGTATTTGAGCAACATATAGGCAAAATATTTCTATTAGTTATGAGGGAGAACTAAAATCTTAACTTAAATTTGTCTTTAAATTTTGACCTTCCATTTACAGTGATCATCACATTCACAATGAGTTTGTCCCTACTCTCCTTTCTTGCCTCTGTTCAGTAGAGGAAGTGAAAATGAAATTACCTCTTTTCTGCTTTCTAGCTTAAAGGATGTGCCTAGTTAGTTAGTCAGGGATATGGTATAGAAGCTATAGGCATAAATGTTTTTAGGCAGATTTTCTATGAGCATTACAGATTCAGTTTCTGGAGAGTGGACAACTCTGAATCATAGAATCACAGAATGGTTTGGGTTGCCAAAAGATCTTAAAGCTCATCTCATTCACCTCCCTGCCATGGGCAGGGACACCTTCCATTAGCCCAGGTTGCTCCAACTCCCATCCAACCTGGCCTGGAACACCTCCAGGCAACCTGTGCCAGTGTCTCACCACCCTCACAGGGAAGAATTCCTTCCTAATATCCTATCTCACCCTGTCTTCTGGCAGTGGGAAGCCACTGCCCCTTGTCCTGTCACTCTAGGCCCTTGTCCAAAGTCCGTCTGCATCTCTCTTGGAGCCCCTTTAGGCACTGGAAGGGTCTCTAAGTTCTCTCTGGAGCCTTTTCTTCTCCAGACTGTACAACCTAACTCTCAAACTTGGCTTATCGGGGAGATGTTCCATCCCTCTAATCATATTTATTGCTCTTACAGAACAGCTCTGCTTTAAGGCCTTTCATTTCTGCAGGCTAAGATAAGCTTGTTTGGCTTCACTCCTTACTGTGTCTTTTCTTCCAGGTGTATCATCTGGCAAGTGTGCGCCTGCGGGACCTGTGCTTGAAACTGGATGTTTCCAATGACTTGCGCAGGAAGATATGGACATGCTTTGAGTTCACACTGGTTCATTGTGCTGATCTCATGAAGGACAGACATTTGGACCAGCTCCTCCTCTGTGCCTTTTACATCATGGCAAAGGTAACGTGTGTTTTAAGAAAAGCAGTGAATTTTATGCCGATCCAAATGTCAGGTGTTTAGTTTAGTTTAACTGCTTTATTCCTGTCATGTTACTGGAGGGAAGGGAAAAGTCCTTCCAGGAAGTGGATGAAGTCCTGGTATGTTTTTGCCTTTGTTTTGCCAGCTGGGTAAGAGGGGTTTTTTTCTTCCCTTCCTGAGCACGTCCACACTGAGCACTGGTTGACACAGACAAAGCACTGTGTGGTCTCATTGCCCCAGATTTGTTTTCTATCCTGTTTGTCATCTTCACCATCTGTATAACCTGAACCTAAAACCCCATCACAGTTACAGAATTAGGCAGGTGCAGAAATTTGCAGGAGCAGATGTATGTAGAACAAGTTTCTATTCCCCAAAAATCCTCTTAGCTTGTGGAGTTTCAGGTTCAGAAATTTTGGTTGGTTGCCTTCTACTTGTATTTCTTCATTTCTTATTCCATTTGCCAACTCTGGTGTAAGGTGTTGTTAAACTGGATTTTGAAACTGGATTTTTGGTTTGACACAAACTTGAGCTGATGACTACAGTGCTCATCAAGTCTGATTCAGACACAAATTCAGGAGGGTGAAACTAAGCCCAGGCTCCTCATCCACTGGGGCTGGATCACCTTTTCTTAAGGCAGACAAACAAAGAGGAGCACTGTGTGTGAAGGGAAACTGATGTTTAATTGGTGATTGCCTGTGGTCTTAACGGTTGCATGGCTTAGGCTCACCTGGCACCACTACTGATCACTGGAGGAAAGCAAAACCACTGAACAGTCAGTGCTCTGTATATTGCCATGTAGTTTGTCAGTTGTTTGGGGTATTTTTCTAACACAGGTTTTCAAGTGCTGTCTCCAGTGCAGTGTGAGACCTGACAACTTAGCCAGAGGCCTTGATACATTTTCTCCTGGCTCCTACTACAAAAGTTTTTGCTCATCTGCTCTTAAAACTGCAAATGCATGGCTGAAAACCAAAGAGCTTTAACAAATGAGCTGTTTTGAAGCACAAAAGCAAGGTGAAACTACGTGTGTACATACCTGCCTCGTGTCTTGTTCAGGATTTCATAGTTTCATGGTATGTTAAGGGTTTGTAATGGTTCTTAGAGATCGTCCAGCCCCATCCCTCTGCCCTGGGCAGGGACACCTCCCACCAGAACAGATTGCTTCAGGCTTGAGCCACAGCCTCCCTGGGCAACCTGTGCCAGAGTCTCACCACTTTATCTCACTTTCTGTTTAGAAAAATCAAGGGGTCCTGTCTTCAAATTCACAAAATACATTTTTGACTTCATAATATTTCCCTTCTTTAATTTTAAGTGTCACTAGAAGAAAAATCTGAAAAGGAATAATTCCTAAGCATCATAAGCAACAAAAAGCTCTAGTAGCTAGGAAACAAGGAATGCCTGAATAAGAAAAATCCTCGTTGCATTTATAGTGATACTCACCAAAATGCTGCACACTGGACTGAGCAGCCTTGGCCTTCATGCACTTGGTCCTCAATAGCCTTTTCTTTTCCAGGTAACCAAAGAGGAAAGAACTTTTCAGGACATAATGAAAAGTTACAGAAACCAGCCACAAGCAAACAGCCATGTGAGTCCAGAGTCTTTGCCTTTCTGTGAAGCTCAGGGGTGGCTTTTCTCATGCTTGTGCACATAAGGGAAAAGTCAAATCCTCTGCACTGTGATATTTGTTCCTATCTGGATGGATTTCATCTAGTCTTCTAACTTCCTTGTTTTCCTTGACAAGGGTGTTTTTCCCTGGTGTCTTGTAGGTTTATAGGAGTGTCTTGTTGAGAAACACTGCTGCTGGTGTCCCATTGGACAAAAATGCAAACCCAGATACGGAGATGGCAGAAGGTGAGTACAGCAAAGGAATCTGCCACAATAATGTAGTTGTGGGTTTTGAAAGACTTGAACTGTCAAGTAATAAGGAGAAGTGGAGCAAGTTTTACAGTTCTAAATAAATAAAGACAAATGTATTGTTGAAAAAGAAACTTTCTTGTCAGTAGCTCTGCTGTGTGCTAGATATGGAAATTACACTCCCTGGCTGGAAAGAATGTTTAATTTTGGTTGCTCAGGGTTGGAGTATTTTCTTAGTGTGTCAATGATACTGTAGTTCTTCTTGGACAGAAACACTGGTGAACATAGAAAGGTGAAGATGAACAGCTCTTGGAATATTTTGATGGTTCTTTTCTTCAAAGAGCACACCCTGCTCCTGCCTTGTGTTTCTTTAGTTCCTCTAATTAGCTAGTCAGTTGACCAACAAGTTCTTGCCAGTTGTACAAGGTAAGTTTGACTCTGAAACACACAGTTTACCAGTGCTGTGGTTTTGAAATCTCTCTCCTCCTGTTAGACTTGTCCGTGAAGGCTGAGAGCTCCTCAGGATCTGCAGCAAAGAGCTCCAGTGAGCCAGAAACAGAGGAGAGAGGAGATCTCATTACATTTTACAATGCAGTCTACGTAGGAAGAGTCAAATCATTTGCATTGAAATATGATATCACAAACCAGGATCATGTAGTAAGTATTTTGGAATTAATACTCAGAGCCAGAGTTGTTTTCCCTGACAGTTAAACACGTGTCAATAATTTGGTCCTGTCACTCCCCTGGTGTGGGTAAAGCCAGGTAGATAATGGTGTGAAGACTTGCTTTGACAGCCTTTCAAGAGGACAAATGCAGACACTGTTCAGTTTGCCACCCCAGTTTCAGCTTCTTTACATTGATGCAACACCCATTGGTGTAACACACCTGGAAAACTAGTTTGTTCTGTTGTTTGATCGGTACTTGATCTGTTGTTTAACCGTCACAGGATCAAATCTTTTTAGAAGACCTGGAAGTGTATGAATCTTTCCTTCTGTGAAGGTACTGCTCTTAACCGCGTAGCGCATGAGGTGCTCTGCAGCTGTGTCCTGTGTTGCAGATGGAGGCCCCTCCCCTGTCCCCGTTCCCCAGCATCAGGCAGCAGCCGCTGTCCCCGCGCCGCATCTCACAGCAGCACTCGGTGTACGTGTCGCCGCACAAGAACGGGACCTGCCTGACCCCGCGCTCCGCTCTGCTCTACAGGTTCAGCGGGAGCCCCTCCAAGGTAGGCAGCAGAAACAGCTGGACAGGGGGCAGAGAGGCTTGATTAGTCTCCTAATTAGGATGTGTTCTAATGCAGTCCTAATGTGCTATAATACAGAGACACATGTATAGCATGATATGTATGTTATATGTAGATAGAACGCAGGTATAGCATGATATGTATGTTATATGTGTATATGACACATGTATAGCATATGTATGTTATATGTAGAACACAGGTATTGCATGATATGTGTTTTATATATGTAGAATACATGTATAGTATGATATGTGTGTTCTATATATCACACATGTATAATGTCTGTGTATGTAATGCCTATTGTGCTATCTAGTGACATTATGCACAGGTATATGCATTACAAGGTGTATGGTGATGCATTAGCACCACACTAGAGCATCATGCAGTTAGGAACATATTGCCCTTGCATAATATGCAGTTAGGAACATAATGCAGTTAGAAGATATGTATAATACAGTGACAGGTTAGTGGTTGGGTTTGATGAAGTGATGGGTGGACAGTTGGACGTGATGGTCTTTAAAGGTCTCTTCCAACTGTGGGGACTCTGATAACGCATCAGGGTGTAATTCTGTACGTAGGATCCGTCGCTCGCTTAAAGGGGTTCAGTTCACCCTCTGTTCTCAGGTATTTGAAACCCAGAGGAAGTTTGAAATGGGATCAAAGTGACTCATTACGTTTTGTCTCGATGGCAGAGCTTGAAGGACATCAACAATATGATAAAGCAAGGTGAACACAGGAGTAAGAAGCGAGCGATAACGATCGATAGCGACACTGAATCCCCCACGAAGAGACTCTGCCAGGAAAATGATGATGTTCTACTGAAACGTCTCCAGGATGTTGTCAGTGAAAGAGCAAATCATTAGAACTGCCTGTTTTCTGTGGGGTCTGAAGGTTGTGGAGCTGGATAGAGCCATTGTGCTATTTATTTCTTGGGTTTGTATGCAGACAACTGCCAAGTTTCTTGAACATTGAGCTTCTACCTGACTTCACAGGCTGCAGAAAGCAAGGGTTAAGTAGGAAGTGCCTGAGGATGAGAGGTGGTGGTTTTCATGCCTGAAGGCCATGCTGTGCTATAACTTACTCTGAGCTGATTAGCAAGAGGGTGTTCTGTAGGAGGCTGTACTGGATGTTCTCAGGCCTCATTTGGAGCATCTTAAGTTCTAAGTGTAACTCAGCTTCTAGTAATACTGGTTTTGTTTTTGGAACAAGAATGGTAAGGAAATGAGTGAAGTCAGTTAAGTTCCCTCAGGCCTTTGGTATTTGGGGAAGAAACTTTGAAAGTGCCTTATTTGATAAGAATGTGGAGTTGTGTTATTTTGCTGTGGAGCAGCTGCAGGGGAGAAGAAATGAATCATTTACCCTCAGGAAGAGCTGGGCAGTTTTGAGCTGTCAGCACTTCAGTTGGAGTGTAGGCTGTGACAGGCATCTGACAGGTTTTGCAATAACAAAGGCAGTAATCAAAAAATACAAATAGCAGTAACTTTTATGTGACTCTGATGCTGACAGAGCACTGAGATGTGGTTTGGTGAGTGAATTACCTCTCTCTAGCCAGTGGGTGTTGCCACGTTGGGAGCCTGAGAGCAGCTCTGCCCTCGAAGCTGTTCACACCGATGGCAGCTCACCCATGAAGTACAAGCTGCTTACAGCTGAAATCAGCAGCTGGCGCTTGGGCCACCTCACAGCTGTTCAAGTGGACAAATTCTTTTAAGAAATTGTGTCTCTGGTTTATTTTTTCCTGAAGACCTTAGCCTCTTGTGTAGTATCTACACTGAATGTATGCCCATCTCCTAAGGGGTGTGTGTCTGTGGGGGTTCATAGCTGTTGGAGGCTTGGATTCCTGGAAGTGTATAAATTCCAGCATCTAGTTCTTGTAACCTAGTTGTTAATGCTGAGGATTTGGTAGGGTTTATGTTACCAAAATGAAGAAAAGTTAAGGTTTCCTTATTACGGGAAATCAGTGGCTTGATCTTATTTTCTAATTGCCTTTAAGATTAGAGCCATAGAGAAACTTCTCAGCACTGTGTTTTCAGTTTCTGTGTAACTGAACTGAAAAAGGAAAAACCCAACGATTACATAGGAGCTGTGTGAGGAGCTCTGCTCACCTCCCTGGCTGGGTGGGGTGGTGTGTGCTGCAGGAGCTGTACCACATGTGATGGTTTGGGGCAGTCTCAGCCGATGGATCTGGCCAGGAGGAGGAGAAACTGAGCGCAGAGCGTATGTGTGCAGGGACCCTACTCAGTAGGGAATAGAAAGTTTACAAACATGTTTTTGAATTAGTAACTACTTAATTTTTATTCTGGTTTTTTTACTGTCAGAAAAAGGTGCTTGACCATGGAGAGCTGCAGTGTGAGGAAATGGCCACGCAGTGTACCATGTTTCTTGTAGATTCTCGTGTTCGGCTTTAATTTGATTCAAGTTTTAATGTTTGTCTTCAGATTTTGAGGTAACAAGTGAGGGATTGCAGCCTTTATGGATAGATGTATGGTCAGGCATGACAAGGTCAGTCTTTCCACAGTATTGTATGGTGAGAGCTGAGTTGATTTGGTTTTGGTTTGGCATCACCTGCAGATTTCATCACGTGTCTGCTCCCCTCAGTGAAACTAGGAAACTGATGGTGCTAACGTCCTCATTAGTTATGGTTAAGTGTAGTGTTTATTCATTAGGAAAATGAATATACTACAACTGGATGCAGTTCAGAATTGTTCACCCGTTTAGGTGATAGAAGAAATACTTTGGGCCTGTTGAACAGCTAAAACAATAGTTTATATGGAAGTTTTGTAACGGTTTCAAAGTGCCTTCACATGTAAATCTGTATTTTATAATAAACAGCTGAAAAGCCTTTTACCCTGTGTTGCTGTATTTCCTGCTGTCTGTCTGTGCTAACTCACCAAACTGCCTTCTGTCTGTTTCCTGCCATGACAAAGACCTCCGTCATTTGTTTGGGATTTTTTCCTGTTTAGATTCATCATATATTTCATGTGTTTTGTCTGAAGTTTCCTCCTGAGGTTTCTGTATTGCTTGTGCTTCAGTCAGATGTGGTTTCTAGGATAAGGTGAGTAATACATTATGTGAAGTAATCAGAAAACGCTGAAGGGGAGAGAACCCTGAGGTGCAGGTGCCCACAGGGGGAGGTGTGACTCCAGCCTAAGTCAGCTGGAGTGCTGCAGGTGCTGATCCTCTTCCCCCCAGGAGTGTTTCAGAACCAGCTTTGGACAGGTTCAGATCCGTACCAGCTGGCTTGGTGCTGATTTGTCACTCCAGGTAAGCATAGAGCTGGCGTTGACTCAGAGCTTTTTTAAAATGACTCTTGTTCGTCTGCCATAGGGGAGAAAAGAGGCCAATTTGTACAGATTCTGCTGTAATGACTTTTTTGTTTTAAAAGACTTATCTGTATATCATAGAATCACAGAATCATGGAA